ACACAGCAGCCAGTGGGTGCGCTGTGGGCATGTTCAACACATCCATGCGGGAGCTGCAGAAGCACTTGTACAAAGGGGAATACTATGCCTTCAAGTACGCCCCCATGTTCGAGAGCAACTTCATCCAGGTGCTTTCCATGGAAAGCATCCCCCCCTCTCCCCCCGTCCCGCCGCCCTAGCTCTGGCCCCAAGCTTGTCTCCTTCCCAGGCTCCCCGTGCCGCGCTAGGCCGCTCACTGGCTCCCACTTTGATGGGGGGGCGGGCGGCCGCAGCAGCAGCATTTGGGGTCTGAGTGAGACAGGTCCACGAATGCCAGATCTGCCCGGGGGTTGAATAACAAGACTTGGTGGAGCAGGACGTGTTGGGGTCTGAGAGGATTCCGCTTGAGAATGGGGTGGGGAGGGAAGAGAGGCCTCAGATACCAACCAGCCGTGAGGTAGGTTTGAACCTGGCGAGGGATTGATCATCCATGAGTCTTAGATAGTGTCTGTCTGCCTCCAGTCCATCCAGAGGAGGGGGAGAGCTCTATGGAAGTGGGCACCTGGTCTCTCCCTGCCACGTTTCCCTTCATTTTCCTCCCCCTTCCCCACTGCAGATCAGCAAGAGAGGGGAAATGATTGGCATACATAACCAGGCATGCATGGTGACCGTGGGCATTGCATCCACCAGCCCGATTATGCCTTTGCCCAATGTCATGCTGTTAGCCCGGCGCGTGGCATATGTTGAGGATCAGCCCCGTCCAGAGGCCAGCTCCAGGAGCAAGATGCAGCACCCCCACTCTTCAAAGACCCTGGAGTTCACCAGGTGAGCCAGCCATCGCACTTGGCCTGTCCCTTACCGGAACAGCATTTCAACCTCCTGGTTTTCAACTTGGATGAGCTCTAACCATTCAGCTCAGATAACCATCCTACCAAACATGCCAGCCAACATGATCTTAACAAAGTCACTTAGAGAGTAACTGGACTTAGGTCAAGGAACAAGGGTTCAAAATCCATGGACTTCTGAAGAGAACCCCCATTTCCATCTCTCTCTCTCACACCTGGAAAATGAGGTGTCAGCTCCAAGCAGAGCCTGCACCCCCAGTGTGACAAACGGATGACCAGGCCACTCAAAGTCTCAGGCAGTCAGTGCAGCTGAGGGGGAATTGATGGGCAGGGTGGGGGTTGGAGGAGAAGGAGGGAGGACTGTGGAACGTACTTACTTCCCACGGTGGGATGGGCTACAGGCTACTCCCCCTGGAGTTTGTGAAGATTTCTGTCCACGACTGTAAGAAGCAGCAGCTTCGGCTGAAACTGGCCAGCGGGAGATCGTTCTACTTGCAGCTCTGCCCACCCTCCAATGCCATGGAAGACATCTTCTCCTACTGGGAGAAGCTCATCTACCTCCTTCGGCCACCTGCCGAGGGCTACGGCAGCACCCATGCCATCCCTGTTGGGGATGGGGTCGAGGTGCCTGTTTTCATAGCCAAAGAGAAATTTCCTATGAGTCGAGCCACAGAAGGACCCAATTTGGGCCTGCATGCCTCTGAGGGCCTCATCACTCTGCTATATTCTCTAATCACCTATGCTAGAAAATGGGGGTGAGGGGGAAATGATGAATGATTTGATGAAGTGTTCTAGGCCCAACCCTTTCAGCAATGACAGGCCTCTGCCCTAGGGTCCACAGGCTAGAAGGAAGGAGGCCTTGATTGCCAACCCCAATCCTGGCTAGGAAAATGGGGGAGGGTTGGGAAAGATGTGCCTTCTTTTAGGAATCAGTCCCCCCACCCCACCCTATGCACGGTCACAACACACCAGAACAGACACACGTGTTCCATGTCCTGGAATTCCCTGGGGCTTCCTCAGTTTCCTTCTCCAATCTAATGGGGTAGGAGGATGGCTCCTGACCCTAGGATGTTTATGACCTGACCTTGCCCCGGGCCTGCCTTTTACGATCTTTCCTCTTCTGCCCCTCGCACTATGGGCCCCAGTCCCAGGAGCCTATTCTGCACAGCAAAGGGGAGCAGGATAAAGTAAGTATCAAGAGTCTTCATGTGTTGTCTGACATTCCTGGCCAGGACAAGATGGCAGTAAAGCCGGAAATAATCATGGCGGCTGCAGCCGGGAAGGGCTTCCCTAGCCCAGGAGGCATAGAGAAGGACCTGCTGCCCCAT